ACTAGTAACTCCTCCCTCCGCCATCCTCATCCTCTCTTCTTCATCCAGCTGATGTGCAATTGAGGATAATTCCACAGGGCTAAAATACTCCCCTTGCAATAGATTGTTCAGGCAATGTTGAGCACAAAGTGAGCCTTCTTGCTAATATTTCCAAAAGAAAAGCATTCAAATGTGATTTGTCAGATCTGTACAGTACTGTCCCCTAAACAGAAAATGAATCGTTAACTTTTTCATACCATAGAATGGAACCTTTTTCACTTTCAGACAAGTAGGAATGACACCTGCACACACATTTTCATTCCTTTTTTTTTTTAAAAAACAATTCCACGATTATTCTCTCTAGCAAACACAAGCATGATTTATATTAAAACAAACATTTTCAACTGTCAAACCTCACATTTTATGAAAGACTACTCCATTCGAACATCTAGGCACTCTCATTTTCAGTGTCTAAAACAAATTTCTGGAGAGTCCATGGCCAATTACTGATACAACAAGGGAATTTCAATGCCTAGAACACTTGTTCTTTTAACTATAGAATCTCTACTCAACCCTAATTCTTGTTGATGGGATTTCAAAGATCACAAATCAACACAAGTGGGGAAAATGGCTTAGGGTGAGTGACGACTTATAGCTAGAATGGTGAGCTTATCTTTGGGCAAGTCTGCAAATGAGGGGACAAACGTAGAGTGGAGCTGCCCGCAGAGGACATCTAGCACTTACTCCTGGACAAGCCAGCAGGAGGGGCTGGATCCAAGTTCAGCTCCAACCAGCAGGGAGGTCCACTCCCCACGGACCCCAGGGCTCCAAGTGCAGGGCAGGCTGGCTTTCTTAGATAAGTGAGTAAATTGTTGTTGTGAGCCATCAAGTGAGGTCTGAATCATAGCATGTATAGGGTTTCTGAGAGCGGCTGGTGGGTTTGAAGTGGCAACCTCGCAATTACCAGTCCAGTGCCTATCCTACAGCATCAGTAAACAGTAAGCCTCAAATTAAAATCTGGACTGCTAAGCACAAAGAACCTGATTATCAAGCCCTTCCTCAACAATGAAGCATTCTGATGCTTGCCCTGTAAGAAGACTTGAGTGTGGGTTGAGAGCCCCGTCTGCAATAGGTTAGGAACAAAATTCAGCTGCTGAAGAAGGTTTAGGGTTTATGTAGACAATGGAATAGAAAGGCGGCATTTGTTGTTGTTGTTTAGTGCCAATGAGTCAGTTCTGACTCACAGTGACCCTGTAAAGAATTTCTAAGGAGAGGCTGATAAATTTGAACTGCCAATCTTGTGGTTTGCAGTTCAGTGCTTATCCTACAATGCCACACCAGGACTCCACACACCTTCTGTTGTTGTAAGTGCCACGGAATTGGTTCCAACTCATAGCAACTCTGTATAGGGTTTCAAGGAGCAGCTGGTGAGTTTGAACTGCCAACCCTGCTGTTCAAACTGACCTTGCAGTCCAGTGCATTATCCTGCAGCGCCACACCAGCATGCCACACACTTGCCAGAATGGCTAAAATACTGCAGAGAATGTGGAGACATCAGAACTCACAGTCCTGGATGGAGAATAGTTAAGTATAACCACTGGGAGGAAAGTGGTCAGAGCATCTACGGAAGTCCATGGAAGCAGCAGTCAAACACCATACTGCATGGGGCAAATCTACTGTATTAATCTCAAGGTCAGCAGTTCGAAACTACCAGCTGTTCTGTGGGAGAAAGATGAGGCGTTCTGCTCCCGGAAAGATTTACAGCCTTGGAAACCCTGTACAGAGTTGCTATGAATCAGAACCAACTCCATGGCACATAACAACAACAACAACAGTCATTTCCAACTCACAGTGACCCCATGCACAAGAGAAGGAATCTCTGCCTGGTCCATCGCTCTCCGCACCATTATTATTACTCGTGAACCCACTGCTCCTGCCACTGTGCAATCTGTCTCCTTGGGGGTCTCCCTCTTTTTTACTGACCTTCCCACTTTACCAAGCATGATGTCCTCTCCAGGGACGGATCCCTCCTGATAACATGTCCAAATATAGGAGACAAAGTTTCTAAGGCGCATTCTGGCTATACTTTCTAGGCACATTTGTTTGTTCTTTTGACTGTCCAAGGTACTTTCAATGTTCTTCCCCAACAGCATAATGCAGATGTATCCATTCATCTGTGGTCTTCCTTATTCACTGTCCAACCTTCACATGCATGTGAGGGGATTCAGTCAGCACCCCAGCAACATGTAATCACAGCTGACTGGCAGGTAGTGGCTGCACATGAGGTAGATGGCCAGGAACTGAATTCAGGTCTCCCGCACAGAAAGTTACAGTATTCTACCACTAAACCACCAATGCTCACCAGCCAGGGTCTAGCACACACTTTAAAGACGTGCATGTGTGTGTGTGATGGATTGAGTTATGTCCCCCCAAAATGTGTCAAGGAGCTCTGGTATCGTAGTGGTTACAAGTTGGGCTGCTAACGTCAAGGTCATCAGAAACTATCAGCTGTTCCATGGTAAGGCTTTCTGCTCCTGTAAAGATTTACAGCCTTGGAAACCCTTTGCAGGGTCATAAGAGTGGGAACAGACTCCACGGCACACCACCACAACCACTACCATTGAAATATGTGTCAGCAAAGAGGGGCCACGATTCTCAGTGGCTTGGCAGTTAGGGAAGCAGAGCGAGGAATGGAGCTGGGTCCCTGCACTGTGAGGCTCCGAGCTCCAGGAGGCATGGAGAGCTCTAAGAAATGCCAGGCCTTCAGATGCTGAAGGGAGAAAGCACCTTTCCCCAGGGCCCACGCTCTGAATGAACACATCCAGCCTCCTGAACTGTGAGGGAGGAAACGTCTGTTCGTTATGGCCATCCCCTCGTGGGATTTCTGGTATAGCAGCCCTAGAGAACTAAGGCGGGGGGTTGAGGAAAGGGGGGTCATTAGAGATTAAGGATGAATCCTCGGATTAGCTGTGCTTTCAGTATTCTTGAACTGGCTGAAGACATACCATTTAAGTGTCTTTCTTGATCCTGCTGTGGTGCTGTAGGATAAGCACTAGACTGCTAACCACAGAGCCAGCATTTCAAACCCACCAGTCACTCTTCAGAACCCCTACACAGGGTCACTATGAGCTGAAGCCAGCTCAACTGCACTTCACAACAAGTTTGCTAAATACATAAGATTGGAGGTAATAAGAGGAAACAGATTCCCAAAGTATTTGTGCTAGGATGTGTGTTCTAATCTAGGTCACACATACTTCAATTTACAGCTGTTGTTGTGTTGTTATGAGCTGTCAAGTCGGTTCCGACTCATAGTGACCCTGTATAGGGTTTCCGAGAAGCAGCTGGTGAGTTTGAACCTCCAATCTTGTGATCAAGTACTTATTCTATAGTGCTACACCAGGACTCCACTGAGAGTAACTACTTTCGGTTAAGTCGTTTTCAATAGGCCAGGGCCCACCTTCATTTGGTTCCAGGGTCCAGGAACACTGAAATCTATCTAAATTATATAACATTCAACATTGCTAAAAACACCCTACATCAAGTTGTGTGTGAAAATGTTTACAGTCTTCCCTGTTGAAACATCCGGTCTTACACCAAAACCTTGAAAGCTATATATAAGTTTCTCTTCACCCTACCTCCTTGTTGTTAAGCACCGTTGAGTTGATTCTGACCCATAGCTAAACTGTATAGGGTTTCCAAGGAGCAGCAGGTGAGCTTGAACCACCAACCTTGCAGTTCAAATGACTTTGCAGTCTGACGCATTAGCCCACAGCACCACACCTACTTCCTTAGCCATGGCTAAATTTTTCTAGCCCCAGATTCAGAATGCACTGCCAACCAAATCCAAAAATTAGCTACAACTATACCACTGTGTTCTGCCTCCCCCCAACTCATAAAAACAATCAACTCCAGTTCCAAACTTGCTGAAATGATTTCTATAAAGAAAATTATTCTATTTAACAATTTGTTTAGATTTTATACTACAAGTCACCATGCCTCTTGAGTTTGCCTCGTGAGCACACATCGAAAAATTTCTTGGATCATCAATCATTCACAAGTATTTAATACAACCACCACCTTTTGTGCGTTCTTAAATAACAGCCTCACAGCAACCCTTTCCAAACATGAAACTCTTATGAAACAAGATTATCATCTGCCAAAGGTGTCCTAGGGAAGGTTTCACTCACATCCAAGCGGCTTGATAATTGCATGAGTAAAATCGGGCTCCTCCACATAACACATAACACAAATCTCTAAGTATGTGGCCATTAAAAAAACTAAAGCAAAACCAGGCTAGGTGGACCACACCAACAAGGTTATCTGAGTCCACTCCTAATCCTAATAACAATGCTGGCCTCTGATGCAGAAAGATGGGAATAACAAAACAAGCCAACCCCAAACTTCCCGTAACAAAAACTCTTGAGAGGACTTACTTCCCTGCTTGGGGCGCCAGGGATTTCCTCCACTTCCCCCTCGTGTCAGCCCCTACAAATGTCTGGGAGATAGAAGAGGCTCACGGATCTAGTGCGGGAGGAAGCCAGATACACAGCCCCAAAGATCTACCAGCAGGAGAGATGGAGCTCAGAAAAGGAAAAGTTAATGCTGTCAGCGGTGGGAGTGGAGAGATGGGGTGGAGTTGGGAAGGGCTTGGGGAGGCTTCTGAGGGGTGAGTCCGGCTAAAAGCTGGGAGAAGTGGGGGAGCAAGAAGTGGAGATCTTCCAAAAAGGTACGGAAAGTGTCCGAGAAACGCAGCAGCTGACCCGCTCGGTGAGTGCCCTGAGGCGCCCCCGGCTCTCCTCTCACTCAATCCCGAAGCCCCCAGCGGCCCGGCCCCGCAGCTCCGGCGGGGGTCTTAGGAGTAGAGAGAGCGGAGGGGGCAGTGGTGAAACTCCCGTCCTCTCCCGGGTCGAGAAGGCGGGGGTGGCTCGAGCGGCGCCCCTCACCCGGAGAGACCTGGACGAGGGCGACTCAGACCCCACCCAGCCCTCCAGACTGTGGCGATACCACACCCACGCCCGCCACCGCGCCACACATAGCCCCCCCCCCACCGAACGCAGACACTCACTTTCTCGTGAAAGATGGACTCCATGTTTATTTGTCTGGAGCCAACGGCCCCCGCACTGAACCTGCCCCCTCCGGCTCCGCCCCCCCACCCCTCTATCCACCACGCCCCACCCGCCTCGCCCCGCCCCTGCCTCGTGCCAAGCACAGACCAATCATCATCGAGGCTATGGGTCCCGTGGTGCGACGAGCACGTGAACGCCGAGGCGGTAAACGTAAGGGCACGTGACCTTTATAGCGCATCTTACCACCTCCTGATTCCTGGCATTCTGAGAGTTACTGCAGCGCCACCTGCCGTGTGGAGGATCTGAGTTTCTCACACATTGCTATGGATTCTGAGATCTAGATAAGGATCTTAGGGAATTCTACGTTCTTTTTTCTTTCCACTTTAGTTTGGAGTTTTCTACGTATCACGATAATAGCTTATGTTTGTCTATCCCTTCGCCCAGTGAGAGCCTCATTGAGAAAAAGGTATCATTGCTGAGAGAAAGCTCTTAGGCTGTTGTAACATAAGTTTCCATTTCCCAAGTTTCCATTTCCCAAGTGCTGTTAAGTTACCTGTTCCTCAAAAAGAAAGCAGTCACCCTATCGGCCCAGACACGCCATCACCACTGCTAGGCAACCTGTCCAAGACAACCACGACACCCCCTCCCCCTGACTTTGCCTATATAGTAAAGGGGCTTCTTCCAGTTTTATCTAATAAATCTGTCCTTGTTGAGTCTCGCTCTGTTTCTGCCTCCTTCTTTAATAACTATTTTAGCGTATACTCTGACAATTGCATTCCTCAATACCTTGTTGTTGTTAAGGATGATCGAGTCGGTTCTGATTCATAACGACCCTGTATAGGGTTTCCGAGGAGTGACTGGTGGACTTGAACCACCACCTTGAGAGCCAGTATTTATCCGACAGCGCCACATCAGGACTCCTTGTAATGGTTTAAGAATAATAGTGTTTAGCTCTCCATGGAATGGTCAATCATTTAAGATTAAAAGGTCAACGTTTCCCTAAGGACAAGGATAAGAAGGAGTGTGGAATGGAAAAAAAAAACCGCACTGCACGTAGGTAGTGGAGTAATTTATTGCATGATGGGGGTTAGAATCATTGAGATGAAACAAAGTGATTTGTTGAATGTAAAACTGATGATCTATGTAAACCTTCATTCAATTCGCAATAAAAAAAAATTTTTTTTTTTAAATGATAGTATTTAAAGATGAACTATTGGTTTTAAGTGCCACGGAGTTGGTTCTGACTCACAGCAACGTTGTATAGGGTTTTTGAGGAAACGTCCTTAGAAACCCTAAACAGCTGGTGGGTTTGAACTGCTGACCTTGTGGTTAGCAGTCTAGCATTTATCCTACAATGCCACACCAGGACTCCTTTGCATAAAACCCATTGTTGTTTTGTGCCATAGAGTGGGTTCTCACTCATAGCATAAACCCCATGGTGGTGGTTGGTTATGTGCCATGGAGTCAGTTCTAACTCATAGCGACCCTTTATAGGGTGTCTGAGGCTGTAAATCTTTACAGGAGCAGAAAGCCTCATCTTTCTCCTGCAGAACCACTTGTAGTTTCAAACTTCTGACTGTGAAAATAGTAGCCCGATTCGTAACCACTGTGTTACCAGAGCTCCTTATAAACCCCATATAGGGTCTTAATACAGAAACCTTTGCTATTATCGCTATTCTACACACGAGGAAAGAAATAGGACAGAGAGGTTCAGACCAGCACAAATCCAAGGTCAGTATAGTCCATGGACATGAAAGGGTTCAAATTCTGGGTTAGGTGTTCTGGCCCTGAAGAGGATGTGTCACTTGGGGAAAGTGAAGAGTCCAGTGAAGAGTGTGTGTGGTGGAGAAAAGCAATACTCATAATAGCGAAGGTGTGAAACAGGAACACATCTTGCATCTTTAGCCAGGTTAAGGAAAGCGAACTATATATATACATTTTTTTAAGTTTTTATCATGAATGAGAATGACAGTTTACATGGGAGAACAACTGTTTTATACTCATCCTATCATATTTCATTTCATTACAATGATTACAATCCCTGCATGCATCATCATTCAACAGTATTTGCTTCTATCCCCTCTGTGGTTTTTTGTTGTTGAATGTACACAAAAACATTCAGGAATATATAATCATTTAAACAACCAAAGGGTACATTCTGCAAGCCTGCCTCCTAGCTGCCAGCACACAACCTTTCTTTTTCCATGAGTCTAGAGTCCTCGGAAACCCTGTACAGGGTCGCTATGGGTCGGAACCGACTCGATGGCATATAACAACAACAACAATAACAAGAGTCCTCGGCTACTCTATCTTTCCATGTCCTCATCTGTGCCTCCATTTCTGGTGTCACTGCTTCCCTGGATAGAGTTCCACATTCTGCTCATGCTCTTCTCCCTTGATGGTCCTAGAGTCCTCTGTTCCTGGACTGTAAGACTAACTACTCCCCCCTTTTTGTTCCAGCATTTCTACCTTTACAGTTGTGAGTTGTAATTAGTCATGATAACAATTACTCACTATTGAATCATAAGAATCTTATCCCCATCTCCTTTCACCAGACTGGTCTAGACAAGATAAAAACTATTCAGTGGGGGGTTATACCTTCCCCCACACAGTCTGAAACTAAACTCCCTCTTGAAAACTTGTAAGACAGTTACTTTGTGCCTTTATTGGCCCTTCCCTCCCCTCCCCCCTCACACTATTTTAGGTACCCAATGTCTAAGTTGCCCAGTTCCTTTCAATCCTGTGTACAGACAGGATAGGATCGATCCTTGATGTGAAGATTCCTTCTTTCTCAGTTGGTATTTTGAGCTATGTAGTGGTTATGAATCGGACTATGAACCTTAAGGTCAACAGTTCATAACTACCAACTGTTCTGCTGGAGAAAGACGAAGCTTTCTGCTCCCATAAAGATTTATAGCCTCAGAAACTCTCTACAGGGTGGCTATGAGTCAGAACCGACTCCACAGCACATTACATCACCACATCCATAAGTAAAGGTCAAGCTCATTCAAACTGCAGCAATTTACAGTTGTTAAGGAAAGTGTACTTCAAAAGGGCATTGCGAGAGCTACAATTTTTTTAAAAGAAGACATGTGCTTAAATTTGTAGGAGAAAGATGAGGAATTCTACTCATGTAAAGATTTACAGCCTCGGAAACCCTGTACAGGGTCGCTATGAGTCAGAACTGACTCCACAGCACATAACAACAACAACAACTCTAGCCACAGAAGAGTGCCAAGAGTTCAGCTAATGCCAGGGTTTACAAGAGCCAACTAGGTTTTGTTCTTATGGAGACCACTGGGGACCTTGGTGATGATGTTTTAGGGGAGAAGAGACAGTGAGAGGTAAGGAAACTGACATTGAAGGTGTTTAAGAGGAGGGTCCAGCCATCATTTTTTGAACAGCTCTATGCACACAGTTCACCAGACTATTTTTGAAAAACAGTCCCTGCTCTTAAGGTATCTTGGTCTGATGTGGGAAACAAATCTGTCTCATAAAGTGAAAAAGAAAAAAATTTAAATGCCAACCATTTAAGAATATATATATGGGGAAGACATATTTAATTTTTTACATATACACCTTACAAGGAGTCCCTGAGTGATGCTAGCATGGCTTAACAAAAAGGTTGGAAGTTCCAGTTTACCAGAGGCAATTCTAAAGAAAACTTGCCAATCTACTTCTTTAAAAAGGTACCACTGAAAACCCTATGGCACCCAGTTCTACTTTGACACACATGAGGTCACCTCACCATGAATCAGAATTGATTTGATGGTAAGTGGTTTCTGATCATGCATTACAAATCTCTGAAAGAATAGATGGGCAACTGAGGTTGTGAAGGGAAGGGAACAAGGCAAATGCGGGACTGAGTTTTTCATTACATGCATTTAAAAAAAAAAATCTAATACTGCTTTATTTAACTTCAAAAACATTTCAGTAAGAAACAATAGAACATTGCAACATGTTTAGGTACAGAAATTTTTTTTTTTTAAATGTTTTATTGTGAATTATGTGATAGTTTACATGGGAGAACATTAGTTTTACACTCATCCTATGTATATCATTTCATTGCCATGGTTACAATTCCCTCCATGCATCATGAACCAACCAAAGAGTATACTCTACAAGTCTGTGCCCCTCCCCCCCCCCTCGTCAGCACACAGCCCCACAGCCCCTCTCCCTCTCTAAATCTAAAGTCCCAGCTTCTCCATCTCTTCACATCATTGTCTCTGCCTCCATCTCAGGCATCACTGCTTCTCTGGGTAGGGTCTCGCTCTCCACTCTTCTCCCTTGATGGTCCCAGGGACCTCCACTCTTAGACTGCAAAGTTAATCACTCTCCTCCTTGCTATAAAACGTCTACCGTTGCATTTCCAACCCTCACAATCAGTCCTGATAACCATTATTCACTATTGTATCACAAGAGACCTATCCGCATTTCCTTTCATCAGCCCCACCTAGACAGATTGATACTACTCAGTGGAGATTCTACCTTCCTCCAGGCCCTCTGGATCTAGGTTCCCTCTTGAAAGCTTGTAAGCCAGTCACTTCTTGCCTTTGTAGTTCCCCTTCCCCCATTTTGGGTAGCCAATGCTCTGATAGCGTAGTGGTTACGAGTGGGGCTGCCAACCACAAGGTCAGCAGTTCGAAACTACCAGCGGTTCTGCGGGAGAAAGATAAGGCACTCTGCTCCCGTTAAGATTTATAGCCTCAGAAACCCTGTGCAGGGTCACTATGAGTCAGAGCCGACGACTCCATGGTACTTAACAACAACAACAACAATGCAGATAAAGAAGTCTCTTGAACTTCCATTGATGCAGTGGCTCTTCGCTGTGGTGACAGTAAAGAGCTTGGCATCTGTCCCAAAACAAACATTTGTAAAATACCGCACTTAAAAAAACACAAAACAAAAACAAAAAATCAAATACTTCTCATGCCAGCTGACCCGCCTTTTTTCCACAGCTAAGAATGGCAGCAGACACTATGGTCACACTATATACAAAAACAAGACAACCTGAAGCTAAATG